CTAAGGCAAGAGAATAGTATCCAAGGGGTGAGGCTGATGGGTGTGAATATCATACAGTGTGTGATGGGGAGGGATGTGTCAGAGCATGGCTGATCATGACCACAGTGGGTTGTATACATGGTGTGGTGGTCAGTCAATCGCTATCTCGTGGAACCTTCTGGCCTCCCCAGGAAGTCTTGTGTGGTGTTTGTGCCTCCTCCCCTTACTCTGTATTGTGGGCCCAGGATAAGGATGAGGACAAGGTGGGCCTGGCAGGTGAGGTGATGCAGTTTATTACAAGGTGGATCCCTGCACGGAGTTATACCCTGCACATTTTGAGCCTAGAGAGGCCCTGGGAGCTTCAGGCAGTCCTGGGTTGTTGCATGCTGAGCTAGGTGCATGTGGAAGCAGAAGCCATGGTGGGGGTCACCATAGGAGGAGATGCATGGGAGACCCTGGCTGCACCTGGGGTGGGTGAAGTGCTCAGGAGTAGCTTGGTAACCTGAATGCCTCTGGAGATGTTGCTGCCCAGGTGTTCAGGCTGATGTTTGAGGCTGGAGCCAGGAGGCTGACAGAAGTTGGGGAGGGGGTGAGAGCAATAAGTGCCCTGTGGTCAGCAGCAGGATTTTTGGCCACAGGTGGCAGTGCAGCAGGCGGCCTTGCAGCAGGTGGGCCGGCAGATGAGGGAGACAGAGGAGGCAGGGCGGCAGCTGGTGGAGGTTGGACAGCAGGAGGGGCGCAGCAGCAAGAGTAGGAGGATGTAGTGGTGCAGCAGGAGGGCCTGCAGGAGAGAGGCACACAGCAGGCAGCTGGGCTGCACACGGGCCTGCAGATGAGGGACACAGAGGAGGCAGGGTGGCAGCAGCTAGGCTGGCAGCAGGAGGAGGCTGGACAACAGGCTGTGGTCACACAGCATCTGGGCTTGCAGCACACAGGCAGGGCGATGCAGCAGCTGGGCTTGCAGCACAGAGGGACACAGTAGCAGGACTGCACTGAGCAGGGGGAGACAGAGCAGCTAGGGTCTTGGCAGCAGGACTGCTGGCAACCTGATGGTGAGCAGGAGGAGGTGCAGACAGACTGGCAGGGGCTGGGTTCACAGGCTGTCTGGCAGGTGGCGGGCACACAGCAGACTGGGCGGCACAGCAGGGTCAGGCAGGAGGTTGGCGTGCAGCAGGGGTTTGGGCAGCAGGAGGGGCCACAGCAGCTGGGTTCACAACAGCTCTCGGGGCAGTCGTCCAGCTGCCAGGAGGAGCCTGTGCACGAACCGGGCAGGCAGACGTTGCTGTCACAGCTCACGTCACTGGAGCAGACGGAGACAGCTGAGGACATGGGACCACAGGGCCCAGAAAAGCAGGTTTCTGCCATGGTGGAGCAGCTGTGTTGGGTGCCTGGGGCAGCAAAGAGTGTGAGAGGGGTGTCAGTGAGGGGCTGAGTGCCTGGTGCAGGGAGTACTTGAGCCTCACTGGGATTGTGCTTGTGGGTGTGGGTCTGTGTGAGTGTGTGTGTGTGTGTGTGTGAGTGTAGCTGTGGGGCTGTGTGTGAAGGTGGTGTATCCTGGTGGGCTTTTATATCCCTGCTTCAGGAGGATGTCCCAAGGGGAGATTGAGCCTTCTTCCTTGTTGTTGTTTATGGCTGGCTGCTTCCCTCAGAGCCCATCATTAAGTGATGGTGATATTGTCCAGGGGATGGCCAGCAACCCATAAACATCCTCAATTTGCTTTCCATTTGCACCCTTTAGGAAACATCTATGAAGCCCCTTCTGTTGGCCTGACACAGGGCTAAGTCCTGAGCATCCAGTGACAGAAGGGAAAGCTGGTGGGCTCAGGGTCCCTTGAGCAGAGACAAGCTCCTGGGGGGCTAAGTTCGGATGGGAACGCATTGATAGGCATGATCAGGCAGGCTTCTTGTACAGGGTCCAAGCTGGGAATGTCTGGAGGTGGATGGGAAGATGGGGGAGGGGCATTCTGAGCCTTCCCAGCAGCTTGGGTAGACAGGGAGTTTTGTGTTGGGAGACCAGCAGGCCCGTCTGGCCCAATGTAATATTGACACAAAGGAGTGTTGTCCAAGACATCAGGAGAGCAAGTGGAGAGCTTGGGCAGGGCTGTGAATGGCCAACGGCATAATCATTTGTATTCTGTTTGATGGCAGATACTTGGGCATAAAGTGACCTGATCAGACCTGGGTATTCAGCTCTTCCCTGGGGCAGCGTCCAGAGTGGAGGCGCCAAACACATGGCTCCCAACGGCATCAAGGGTGGCAGAACCAGATTAAAATATATTGGGAAATACCTAACAATGTGAATAAAAATATGGCTAGGCAGTGACCAAGTCTAGTATGGTTGTAGAGAGGTAAACTGGAAAGAATGTGTGCACGTGTGAGACAGAGACAGAGGAAGAGGCAGAGAAAGAGAAATGGAGAGACTGAGACACAGAGAAATACAAATATACACATAGAGACAGAGAAAGGCAGAGACAAAGACAAAAACAGAGACAGAGAAATATCAAAATAGAGGAGACACAGTGCTTTACACAGGGAGAAACAGGAGAAGAGAGAGACAGAGACACATTGACAGATAATGAAGATGGGAGGGGGAAATGGAGAGAGATGGGGAGGGAGAAAAGAGAGAGACAGAGACAGAGAGACAAAGAACTCGAATTAACAGCGAACCACCTAGAAGAGGCAGGAGCTGGGGTCACAGCCAGAGGTAGAACAATTGTCCCAGGAAAGCAGAGCTTCCTATTCTCGGTCTCCCCAGGCCCAGGGACTAGAGAGTGGATGCTGTAGTGGATGTCTGGGGGTAGCAGAGGAGGGAAAGAGAGAGCCCCAAGGCACAGCCTCTGTTTTCTGTGTCAAAGAGGAGGCAAGGTCTTCTCCTCAGAGGGAGGAGCTGGGGCTGCTGGAGGATGCTTGGCTAGAGGAGAAGGTTTGGAGCAGCCGTGGTTGGGAGAAGGGGTGGTGACCAGAGATCAGCCAGGACATTGCCTCCCATCAAGGGGCTCCCAGCTGAGATCAGAGAAGACAAGTTGTTTATCCTGGCCAGGTGACTGTCTCCAGGGTCCTTCTGAAGCACAGCATGGGAGCAGGGAATGCTGATGGTTTGGGATTCTGCTGCTGGTCTGCAGTTTGCTTCAGGCTCTGAAGCCAGAGTTGATTTTGGAGGGGGGTGGTTGGGGCTTTGCTTGGAGGGCTGTGGGGCATTTGGGAAGAATGGGCAGTGGAGGTGGGGAGCCTGCCCTAGAGAAGTAGAGGTCTAGATCCAGCCACCAGGTGCTCGTGTGTGGTTTCATCTGGCCATGTTGTTCAAATGCAAAATGTTTGAGTGCCAAAACGACTATTTTATGGAGAACTCACACAAGGCAGGCACTCACATGGCGGTGAGAAGAAACAGTATGAGGACACCCCCAAGGTGTCTCTGAAGAACTTTAGAACTGATTGTGTGACGTGGGAGACACTGGCACAGGACTGGCCAACATGGCATGTCCTCATCAAAGGTGCTGTGCTCTGAGAAAGCAGAATTGAAGTAACTCAAAGGAAATGCAAGGTGTGCAAATTTAGAGAATCCTCCCCAATGTTCACATGGACTACTTGTGCCCAACCTCTTCTAGAGCCTTCCAAAATTGTTTGGTCTGATCAGCCACATTCGGACACACTATAATTGACCCTAACAGAGTGATGGCATTCTGGTCCTTCTTGAGAAGGAAGGACAACAACCAGTGGGAATCTCCTGGCAGCTGGCGTCCCCTGGAGCAACAGCCCCCACTCTCCACAAACACACACATCCATGCATGCACACACACACACACACACACACACACACACACACACTCTGAAATATACACACAAACACAGAGACACAGAAGCACACACACACACACACACACGTGCATGCGCACGCACACACACACACACACACACACACACACACACACACACACACAGGGACAGGCTCTCAGATGCCCAGGGCCCCTCTCTGCTCTCCTGATTGTGATCTTCAGGACTCTCTTACACTTCTCTTCTCTCTGGCTCTGAATGCATCAATGTATTACTCTAAGAACCCCCCTGAGAAATGACCTGGATTCTCTCCCACAAACCACAGGAGGGCTGTAAACTTGCCCCCTGTAAAAGCTGGTTGTCCTTTCTAATTATCTGGCACACAAGGCAGTGTCCACTCAGGGAAACGTCCTGCCCATCCAGTCCACATTTATTAAGCATTTACTGTGTGCCAAGCACTGGGGAAATAACTAATGAATAAAAGACAGTCCCTGTCCTTAAGAAGCTTGCAATCTAATTGGAGGAGAATAAAAATGGGGCGGGAGGAGTGAAAAGTGGGGGCCGTTGGTGTGGTGGGGTCTTGTTCTGTGGGAGTGAAGCTTGTCAGAGCAGCAGGTTGAAGGCTGGGGGAGCTGAGAGCCCAGTGTCTGCCCTCTCCAAAGGCAGGCTCTGGCAGGAGTCTGACTCTGCCTCCTGCCCTCCAAACAGGGGGCTCCAAAGCTCAAGAAATCCTTAAGTGTCCATTAGCCAAATCCCTTACAGGCCTCTCTTGGGCTATGACATCTCCCACAGAAAGTGGTGGCAAACTCCTTCCTTGCCCTCTATGAACCCACCCCCTCTGCACCATTCAGAGAACAGAGGCACTCAGTGATTTTTAGGCATGTCTCCTTTTAAATTTATTACATGCTTGTTTTTTGTGGTTTCACTGGGGCAGGTGAAGCTGGAGTCACCATGAGGCAGGAGGGAGGTTGTGGAAAGCCAGACCCTGGTGTCCCGGGACCTCCCCTTGAGGGAGCTCTGGAAGGGTCCCTGTGGGAATGGTGGCTCTGTGCCACAATGGAGTCCATGGGGCATGATGAGGTCCAGCTGGTTTCTGACATCAGTGACCTAGCCTGGGTGTCATGGGTTGTGAGTCACAGCAGAACCATAGCTTCTCACCAGCCTGTGGGGTGTGAGTGAGGGCCCTGACCTCGGTGATCTGAGAAGTGGATGCTCCAGGCTCCTCTCAACTGAACTGGGACAGTGCATGCTCAGCAGCAGGAGGGGATGCAGGAGGGTCCACATAGCAGGGAGGTGCAGGAGGCTGGCTGGCAGCAGGAGGGGATAGCATAGGTCACAGTCTTGTAGCATATGGGTACACAGATAGCAGGTTTGTAGCAGACTGGTGTGCAGCAGGTGGACAGGCAAGGGCTATCCTGGGAGCAGGTGGTCTGACAGGGACCAGCCTGGCAGCAGGTGGACTGGCAGGGGCTGGACACACAGCATGAGGGGGAGCCGCTGCCAGCTCCACAGAGTGCCTGGCAGCCGGTCACCACGGTGCCCGCTGGGCGGCAGAGCAGGGCCACACAGGAGGCTGGGCGGCAGCAGGGACGCACACAGCAGATGGGCTTGCAGCAGACAGGCACGGAGCAGGCTGGCTGGCAGCCAGTGGAACAGCTGGTGTGACACATGGTGTCTGGGTTGAAAGGGATCTTGGGAGAGGAGCAGAGGAGAAGGGATGGCTTTGGACAGCTCCTTCCCCCTGACCAAGGCTTTTATACCCCTCTGCAGTGTGTGTGTGTGTGTGTGTGTGTGTGTGTGTGTGTGCTGTGTATTTGTGTGTGTGTTTCTGTATATATTTGTGTGTATGTTTGTGAGTGTGTGTTTGTTTTTGTGGGTTTGTGTGTCTTTGTGGGTTTGCGCATGTTTGTGTTTGTGTGTGTGTGCGCATGCCACAGCAACAGAGTAGCTGTTTCCTTTCTCTCTTGTTTTTCCCACCCTTCCCATTCCCAAACAACTCATGAAGCTTCTGTACAGGTCCTTGCCCAGTGTTTCTTTGACACCCAGAAGTTTTCCTTGGGGGTTTGAGCATAACGTGGGTCTTCTTAGAGGCCACCGTCCCCCTTCTTTAATTATGTCAGCCTACTGACTGAATCCTCTTCCTTCCTTCAAAGCCAGAGCCAAGCCTTTGGGAGAGTCCTTAAAGCAGGAAGCCCTCACCTTCCTGGGCTCATGGGGGATTCTTGGTCTCTGCAAGACCATCCAGACCCAAATATTTCCTAACCCTTTATTCAGTAACAAGGGAAGTGGAGTGTGAACTTCCAGGCTAAGGGGTTTGGACCTGGTCCTAATGAGTCACAGGGAGGTTTCAGAACTGCTGAGGAGTGGACTGACCCATGATCCCTGGGCCTGTGTGTCCTGTGGGCTAAGAGAATATAGTGGTCACTTGTTTGCTCCTGGTACAAACACCGCATTCCTTCAGGAGGGAGAGCTGGCACCAGGGGCATGATTGTCTCCTCCCCCGGCCCTAAATTAAAAAGTCCAACTTCTAGGCTTGGAGAGCCCAAGGCAAAGAGAGTCCAGGACCCAGCACTGGCCCCTGTGCTCATGAGGTGTCGGGGCCTCTGGAAGAAGATGCATTGCCATCTCCCACCACAGTGCCTTTTCCCAGACTGGACCCCAGGTCCGGAAGACTCTCCCTCCACCACCCCTCTGCCTCCCAGTGCCCCCAGCTTCCTGTGAGGTTGAGCTCCTGTGTCACCTCCCACATGGAGCCTCTCCTGATCCCTGCAGATTCCAGTACCCCCTGTCCCTCTGAAATGACCTGCTATTTGCTTGTCCATCTTCATCCTGTGTCCTCTGGTAGGACACAGGCTCCCTGAAGACAGTCACTGTGTCACCTTTGTCCATAGCTCTTCCACCCCGGCAGAATCCCAGGCAGACCGTAGGGTTTCCTGCATGCTTGTGGGGGGCCACCTCTCCAAGTGCTCTTGGGCTCCATGGGCTCTGGACTTCCCAGATGTCCCTCAGGGCTTCTGGGGCTGCAGTGATTCCTGCATCCCAATGGAGTGTGGCCCTGATCCCTTTGCCAGGATTTCCTCACAGAAGCATCAGCATCTCTCCCATTTCTCTGTCTTCCTCCTTGTTCTTCTCTTGCTGAAGAAGGTCAACAAGTCTCATCTTTCTTTTGTCTGTCCCTCCACATCCATGCAGACACTTGTCAAGTCCTCCCTAAGAACTGCGTGGCAAGACCCTCCTCCCAAGGTCCGACTTCCTCCCAGTTTGGGTCTCTTCCCTTCATCTGGGGGACAGAAGCTTGGCAACCTCATTAAACATGTGGCCCTGAACAAAGACACCCAGTGCCCCCTCCCTGGGCTAGGTGACAGGAGCACTGTCCATGCCATTGTTAAGGACACTGTGTCTTTCTGAAGAAAGAGTCCTCCTCCCTGGCAGGAAAAGTGGAAGTCACCATGAAGAGAGGGGCAGGGGCCAAGTCTGTGTGTGAAGGTACACGTGTGTTCACGTGAAGGTGTCCTTGTTCTTTTTGTGTGTGTGTGTGTGTGTGTGTGTGTGTGTGTGTGTTTTTCCCTCCTACTGCCCATAGGGCAAGTTAGATTTCTATACCTAACTGATTTTGTTATTCCCTTCTTGAGCCAAATCTGATGAGAGTAGGGTTCAGACAATGCTCATTCCCCTTCCTTCTTTCCATCTGTTGTAATAGGTTTTTGTCTTTTCCTGTAATGCAATTTACCCTTGTATTCCTCCTCCTTTCTTAGTACAGTTTGTTAGATCAGACTAGTCCACTTACTCGGGTCCATTTAACTCACTTGATTAGATGTATTTTTTTTATCATTACATCAAAGTCAACTTATATCCACCCCTTTACGTATATTCCTTTTTTAAAAATTCTTTTTTAAATTAATTTATTTTGATTTATCAATTATCATTTCCATATGCTTTTGAGTTCAAAATTTTACTCCCCCTTCCTCCCCACCACCCTCCCCAAGATGGTGCACAATCTGATATAGGCTATACATTTACATTCCTATTAAACATATTTTCACATTAGTGATGTTGTAGATAAGAATTAGAACCAATTAGAGGAACCATCAAAAAGAGGAAACAAAACTTAACAGAAGAGCAAAAAAATAGCAATTCAACTTCAATAGTTCTTTCTTTGGTTGTGGATAGCATTTTCCATCATGACACCTCTGAAGATTTCTTAGATCCTTGTATTGCTGGGAAGGGTTAAGTTTATCAATATTAGTCATTGCACAATGTGGCTGTTATTGTGTAAAATGTTCTCTTGGTTCTGCTCACTTCACTCAGCATCAGACCATGCAAGTCTTTCCAGGTTTTTCTGAAGTTAGCCTGTTCATCATTTCTTATAGCACAATAGTATTGTTTACATTCATATACCATAACTTGCTCAGCCATTCCCCAATGGATGGGCATGCTCTCAATTTCCAATTCTTTGCCATCACAAAAAGAGCTGCTATGAATATTTTTGTACATGTGGGTCCTTTTCCCATTTGTATGATCTCTTTCGGATATAGCCCTAGAAGTGCTATTGCTGGGTCAAATGGTATGCCCATTTTTATAGCTCTTTGGGCATAGTTCCAAATTGCTCTCCAAAATGGTTGGATCATTTCACAACTCCACCAACAATGCATTAGTGTTCCAATTTTCCCACATCTTCTCCAACATTTATCATTTGCCTGTTTTGTAATGTTGGCCAATCTGATAGGTGTGATGTGGTACCTCAGAGTTGTTTAGATTTGTATTTCTTTAATCAATAGTGATTTAGAGCATTTTCTTCATATGATTGTAGGTGGCTTTAATTTCTTCATCTGAGAACTGTCTGTTCATATCCTTTGACCATTTATCAATTGGGGAATGGCTTGTATTCTTACAAATTTGACTTAATTCTCTCTATATTTTAGGAATGAGGCCCTTATCAGAGAGACTGGTTGTAAAAATTCTTTCCCAATTTTCTACCTTCCTTCTAATCTTAGTTGCATTGGCTTTGTTTGTGCAAATCTTTTCAATTTATTGTAATGAAAATTGTCTGTTTTGCTTTTTGTAATGTTTCTATATCCTGTTTGGTATGAATTCTTCTGTTCTCCATAGATCTGATAGGTAAACTATTCCTTGTCTCCCAGTTTGCTTATAGTATCAGCCTTTATGTCTAAGTCATGAAAGTCATTTTGACTTTATTTTGGTATATGGTGAGATTTTGATATCCTAGTTTCTGCCATACTCTTTTCCAGTTTTCCCAGCAGTTTTTTTCAAAGAGTGGGTTCTTATCCCAGAAGCTGGGGTCTTTGGGTTTATCAAATAATAGATTACTATATCATTGACTATGTGTCTTGCATATTTAACCTATTCACTGATCCACCACTCTATTTCTTAGCCAGTACCAAGCATTTTGATGATGCTGCTTTATATACAATTTAAGATCTAATTGCTAGGCCACCTTCCCCTGCATTTCTTTTCATTAGTTCCTTTGATATTCTGGACCTTTTGTTTTTCCAAATGAATCTTGTTTATTTTTTTCTAACTCTATAAAATAATTTTTTGGTAGTTTGATTGGTATGGCACTGAATAAGTAAATTAGCTTAGGTAGGATTGTCATTTTTATTATATTAGCTGGCCTACCCATGAGCAACTGATGTTTTTCCAATTATTTAGATCTGATTTTATTTGTGTGAAAAGTGTTTTGTAATTGTGTTCATAGAGTTCCTGGGTTTGTTTTGGGAGGTAGACTCCTAAATATTTTATAATGTCTACAGTAAGTTTAAATGGGATTTCTCTTTCTATCTCTTGCTGTTGGGCTTTGTTGGTAATATATAGAAATGCTGATGATTTATGTGGGTTTATTTTATAGCCTGCAACTTTGCTAAAGTTGTTTTTATTTCAAGTAGTTTTTTTCTTGATTCTCTAGGATTCTCTAATTATATCATCATGTCATCTGCAAAGAGTGATAGCTTTGCTTCTTCTTTGCCTATTCTAATGCCTTCAATTTCTTTTTCTTCTCTTATTGCTAAAGCTAAGTTTCCAGTACAATATTGAATAACAGTGGTGATAATGGACATCCTTGTTTCACCCTGATCTTATTGGAAATGCTTCTAGCTGTCCATTACATATAATGCTTGCTGAAGGTTTTAGATAGATGCTATTTATTATTTTAAGGAAGACTCCATTTATACCTATGCTTTCTAGTGTTTTTAATGGGAATGGATGCTGTATTCTTTCAAAAGCTTTTTCTGCATCTATTGAGATGATCATGTGGTTTCTGTTGGTTTTGTTGTTGATATGCTCAATGATGCTGATAGTTTTCCTAATATTGAACCAACCCTGCATTCCTGGTATAAATCCTACCTGGTCATAGTGTATTATTCTTGTGATAAGTTGCTGCAATCTATTTGCTAATATTTTGTTTAAAATTTTTGCATCTATATTCATTAGAGAAATTGGTCTATAATTTTCTTTTCTATTTTGACTCTTCCTGGTTTAGGTATCAACACCATATTTGTATCATAAAAAGAATTTGGTAAGACTCCTTCTTCACCTATTTTCCCAAATAGTCTATATAGTATTGGAATTAATTGTTCTTTAAATGTTTGATAGAATTCGCATGTAAATCCATCTGGCCCTGGAGATTTTTTCCTAGGGAGTTCATCAATGGCTT